TATGTACGGAATCGGGAGAAGATGAAGAACACTTTTCTGTAAAAATTTCTGAGTTTCGAGAAGTGGGACCGGGGCTCGGGTTTTGTCAATTTCGGGATTATTGATGTTTTTCGATTATTTTCGATTGGGTATTGATGCTATAGCATAATGTGACGTATTCGTTGTGGTTTTGGTCAGATTCGACGCGCGAGGAGGTCGATTTGAGAGGCAAGGGCATAGCGAGCTATGATTTTGGCCGACTTGAGGTTAGTAATAGATGTAAATGATGTGTTGAGGGTTTGAAACCCCGAATTTGCACATTGTAGTGCTATGTTGAGGTGACTTGCATGCCGGATAACGGGCGTGGGGTAGAGCACCGTCGGGGATCGTGACTTGGTCCGTCCCGCTTAATAAAATTACTACCTAATTGATTGAAGCTTAGTTGATATCCTTATAAAAATGGATTAATTGTCATAATTTGGCCTCGTGCCAACTGATCGAATCCTTCAGGGATTGTTCTTACTGGTTTCTTACCATATTTTCAGACAATTGAACTCAGTCCTAGTATTTGGTACTGTTTTGCAAACTCAGCCACTTTTTCTAAAACTTGGAACTTAAATAATATTTCTAATGAAGTTTGGGCTGAATATTTCTATATTATTGTGCCCGAGGGGCTTACATGATTCTGGACTGAGTATGGGATCGGGCTGCGCGCCGCAACAGTATTATATTGATATTGATATGAGGCTTAGGGCCTAATGGATTCCACGAGATGGCTTGATATTGCGCTTGGGCCGTAATGGGCCCCTCCCAGAGTCTGCACACCCCCAGTGAGCGCCGTCGACGATAAATAAATGGAGCGGTCTGCACGCCGCAGCGGGTACTAGAGAGTACCGTACTATTTGTTGCATGTCTTAATTGATTGTCATTCATTTACTTATCTATTGCAGCATCATTGTTTTTCATTGGTTTATTGAGTTGACATTATCTGGATTAAACTGCTGTAATTATAGCTTATATTGTGCCTATCCAGGATTTCTTACTCTCAGCCTTTATTTATGTTTATTACTCACTGGGTCGGAGTACTCACATTACTCCCTGCACCTTGCGTGCAGATCCAGGTACTATTGAGGCTGAGTGAGGACTTCTCTGCCTAGCATCATATTTGGGAGTTTCAAGGTAGCTGCATTTGACGTTCGCAGTCCTGATCTTCCTTCTATCTTTTTTTTATTTTATTTCCACATTTCTAGAGAACGATTTTTAGTAGGTTGATACTCATGTATTAGAGGCTCAGACTTGTGACACCGGCTTCGGGCTGTGTAGTAGTATTTCTACTTGGGTTTTTCGCATGTTTTAATTATATTTCAGAGTTTCAGTATTATGACTTAGTAATTATTTGTGTTAATTGAATCATGAACTGTATAAAAAGGGTTAAGGTTGTTGAATTGGTCGGGCTTGCCTAGCAGTGTGTTAGGCGCCATCACGACCGGGGTTGGGGTCGTGACAGTGCACTAATGTATCTTGCTAGAACCATAAGTATAATAATATTCTAGCGAGATATATTTTTACTCCTATGTGTATTGAAATACGATTAGTGTTATATTGCAAAAGAAATCTATGAAATATATTTGTTTATTCTAACAGATATTGTCAAGGTTTTGTTGGTTATGCAGATGCAAGCATTTTCTGAAAGTTTATTCTGTATGTGAGGAAACTGCCATATTATTATTTCACAAGGCAGTCAATTCTTGGTTGTTGTTGCTTGTTGTTGTTGTAAGGTAGTCAATTGTTGATACTTATCCAAGTCATGTCAATATACTAGCAACTGATAAAGCAAGTGATTCAACACATAACAGATGTGTGACTTTTCCTTGAAGAAAAGATTCAATAATAGTGAAGGCGATGATATTTGTTTATCTCAATTGAAAGAAGGATATATCGAAGGAGACAAAATAAAGTATATTTCACCAAAGTTCTATTTCAGACATGATCGTTGTTCAACAAATTTGTTCAAGTGATAATTTGAAAAACTTCTTCAGAAGGCATCGCCGATCTCAATATTAGAGAAGTTATTATACAAGCTTGGAATTCGTCGTCTCCGAGAAACAAAAGTGATGTTTTCATCAGGGGGAGACAAATACGCGTTGTACTCTTTTTCCCTTAGCTAAGGTTTTATCCCACAGGGTTTTCTGGAAAGGTTTTTAATGAGGCAGCAAGTAATGCGTATTACAAGATATGTGTACTCTTTTTCCTTCACTGAGATTTTTTCCTACATGGTTTTTTCTTAGTAAGGTTTTAACGAGGCACATTATCTATAGACATCCAAGGGGGAGTGTTATGAAATATTATAATTATATTAGTGGGTGTCTATAACTCCTAAAGAAGTTACTCCCACTACTCTTCTCCATTATGTAGATAATTCTCACTACTTCTCACCATTATAGTTGTAACTCACACACCTCCATAACCTCCCCATGATCTTCCTCCATGATCTCAAATGTTTAATGTCTTGTTTATGGCATTCTTTCGTATACCTCTATGTAATCCTATAAATAGAGGGTTTTGGCACCACATTGTACATACTTGACACACTTGAATACATGGAAGAAATAAGAATCTCTCATCTCTTGCTCCCTACATTCCTGTCTATTTTCTTGTTTTATATTATTACGTTGAGCTAAATTTCTTAACAAGAAATATAATTTAAGAACCAAGCAAATAGTTTTGTATGAAAAGGAAAATAAAGAAGCAAAACTGGTTTTGTACGGTAAATACAAGGAAAAGAAACTTACCTTCTACTTCTTCATATTCTCTTATATTTTCTTATTAATTAACTTTTATCCGTATTAAGAAGATACTCTTTAACACAGAATTATATCGGAATAATTTCAGTTGATTTCAAACTCATAAATATTAGGTAATAAGTAATATTTAACAATTAAAACTTTACTTGATTTTGAAGTACTAAATATTAAGAAAGTAACTTAAATTATAATTTTATATAATGTGATACCTATTTTTAAAGAATTTAAAAGGCGAATGGCATTTTGCTACAAAAACTTTATACTTTTAATGAATAATTTAGTGAAGTATAACGTTATAATGAACTTAAAGAAATTAGGTCACTTTTCAAATCATAATATAGTGAATTCGAATAAATTGTACTAGCAATTTTCTAATCCGTTTAGCCACTACGAACAATGAAAGGCCATGCACACACTTTAATATGTGTACAGTGAATGTTAGCATGTTGAAAAGTCACAAGTAACAAAGTAAAGAGAAAAAGGTCTAAATGTGATTGTTTGAAAGGAAAATAAATCTAAAAGAAATGCAAGATCTAATTTGGAAGGAAAAATTTTCCATAAAATATTTTCTCCGTTTTCTCGTAATTAATTACAACAACAACAACATACCAGTATAATCCCACAAGTAGGGTTTGGGTAGTATGTATGCAAACCTTACCCCTACCTAGCGAGATAGAGAGCCTGTTTCCAATAGATCCTTTCTCGTAATTAATTACCTAGTAATTAAACAACAAGAGTACAAAATAGTCAACTGTTTTACACTATCCTTATATTTTTTAAATTTTAATATAAAAAATTCAAGTACTAGTACCCCAGCAAGTGAGAAATATTCTGTGGGAGTTCATAGTTGGTTACCAAATCCCGCATTAAAAGCCGAAATATCCGGTGATCAACCTTTCTTGTTCCTTAAGGAAAAGGGCAAGCCAGTCATTTACAGTGTTTGCCAACCCTAATACATCTACCTACCTTTCCCCCCTATAAATAGGGTGTATGCCTTTTGGTTTGCCTTTGTGGCTCTACTCACTATGGACAAGAGAGAAAAGGAAGAGAATCTAAAATTAAGAGTAAATTGATTCAACAACAAACACAACAACCACAAACTCAGTGAAATTCCACATAAGGTCTTCTTCATAAATGGGAACTATGAAATGTGAGACCTGAATCTATTTTTGTGAGGAAGTTGAGCACAAAAGGATGAAAAGATCAATGGAACTTGTGTTTGAAGAAATTGGCATGCTTATTCTTTTATGGTAAGTTGCTTTGTGTTAGTACCATATGTATCTTTTCTCTTTTGCATTTGGTTTTGAAATTGTTTGTTAAAGAATTGGCTATAAGTTTGGTTTTCAAAAAGCACTTTTGCTATAATGGGTTTAGTTTTTGTAAAATTGTTTTTTAATATTTGTGTTGTTTGAGTGTGGATTTGGATTAGAAATTATTTAGAAGTATTTTAGATGCTTTTATATTTTTTCCCCCTTCTTTATGTCTAAATTTTGATAGGCAAAGTTATCCGATACTATATATAAAGTCAGAATTTAAAATTTATGAGTTATGAACTTTGCATCAAACTAATAGATCGTCTTAGTAACTGATTTCACAATTAAATGTTTAGACGTCTTTTATGAATTCCCTAAAACCAATCATGATATAAGCAAAAATTAAGGATTCGTCTGAACTCGTACCAGATACTCTTGCTCCGCCTATGCCTGACACCTATTCTGGTATGAGGGCCATATTTAGATTTAAGCAAGGAGGTTCAATTGAATCCCTTTCATGAAAAATTACACTAAGCTAGGGCTATGCGTAATTTGGCAAATACCGAATTACTGTATCACAACCTAAAATTTTGGTATTTGATTTAAGTTTTTAAAAAAAATTTGGTATTAGGTTATGATATTTGGTGTTTAGAAAAATAATACCGAAATACAGATACGGTACCGAAATATATAATAAGTTACAAAATACACATATTATTGATTATAATATACTAAGTTACATAATATTTTTCTTTGGTATGCATGTTGAGGCTGGCAGTAAAGCCCATGTACTTCTTTAGAAAAGTGAAGGAATAAGGTAGGCTGCAGATTTCAACCTTATTCTCTAGGATGTCAAGCATCTTAACCTAATACTTTTACAGTTTTAGGGTGGTTCTTCTCGTGTAATGAATTGCATCTCCCTAACTTCAGTAATTAGCTTTAAGTAAGTAACAAGACATTTTCAAATATAATTTATTCCTTTATGTACCTTTTTTTCTCTATAGGTTGATACTTGATGGTTTTGGACAAATCTTGTCAATTGTCATGTGAGCTTAGAACATTTTTATTTTTATATTTGTTAGTATTTAATTAAATATATTACAATTTATGGCTTTATGCACTAGTTAACATTGAAACCGAACAAATCGAAGTTACCGTACCGAATAAATCGAAACTGAAAGGAGAAGAACCATACCGTATATAATTAGGTATTGTATTGGTATAGCATTTTAAAAATTCGAATACCAAAAATACCGAACCGAAATATTTAAATGTCGTACTGTACCAACCGACAAACACCCCTACACTAAGCAAATAAGACAAAAGGGTTTCAAAATTTGCTTTAGACCATTGGTTCAAATCTTAGGTGTGATATTGTAGTACTCCCTTCGTTCTTGTTTAATTGTCAAATATTCTAAAAATAATTTTTTTATTTTTACTTGTCACGTTTCGCATATCAAGAGGAAAATAATTTATTTTTCTTATTTTGCCCTTAGCATTAATCACTCATTTAAAATGCTGACAATAATGGTCAACAATGAGAATTGTGCGGTGGGAGTTGAGGAACTAAAAGTGATTCGTGGTAATGTGCTTAGTGTTGAAGGTGGGGTTGATAGTGTTATAGTGTGTTAGAGGCTAGTAATAGAGAAAAGTGATGATTAGGGGTGTACATAACCGGAAAAACCAAACCAAAGCAACTATATCGGTTTGAATTGGTTTGGTTTTGTTGGGTTTTTCGAGTTTTTTGTTAATTAAATATTATTTCAATCTTACTTTGTTAAATTTTTTATAAGTAAATATATGTTTAGCAAAAATATAAAAAATTGACAAACATATTATCTATTAAAATATTTTATGGGAGAATTTTCTTAGTAACACATAACAGTTAGTTTTTAGTCGTTTGACAATACTTTTTCGTTGATATACACTTTCAAGATTAACCGAATTAGTAATTAACATAAAAAACCAATATGATACTTTAATAGTAATAATCACTTCACATTCGAAAAAGATATAAGAATTTAATAGACCTTAACATATGATATGAATATGGACGAACAAAAAAATTGACGCATTTCAGTAACACTTGATGAGAAAGTGATCATATAACCCATTATTTAAGGTTAATAAATACGGAGCACTTCATATTTTATTAAATATTATATCCCGCAAGAGAATCCCAAATATTTCTAGATATTTTTTAAAGAAAATTTTATATAAAATCTTAAAAGTATATATAAAAATTAAATATTATATGTCAGTTTAGTTCGGATTTTTTTACTCAATACGAAACCAAATCAAACCAAACCTAGTCGGGTTTTTTTAATCGATTTGGTTTATTTTTTCGGTTTGGTGTGATTTTTCGGTTCGGTTTGTACACCCCTAGTGGAGATAATGACGATGATGATGTCTTATCAAAGTAACATAATCTTATATCCTGCTTTACATATTAAGACCTGTCGCAGTGCAATTAAACTAATTGCTTTTTGGCTAAGCTTCTTTTTGGCTAAACATATTTTTGTTGCTGCTAAAAGTACTTTTCTTAAGCAACGATATTTGACAAAGCTTTTAGAAGGAAAAATAATAGCTTTGAATAGAAGGAGAAACATTTTTGAGAAGCAAAAAGGTAACTTCTTCCCAAAAATTTTTATTGAAAAAAGCACTTTTTAGAAAAGTACACTTAGAAACGCTTTTTAAAAGTTTGTTGGTCAAAAATATACTTTTAATTAATTAGTCAAACACAAAGTGCTTTACACCAAAGATAATTTTTTAAAAAGCACTTTTGAAGAAAAATAATTTTCTAAATAACGTGATTTCGAAAGCTTGCTTAAACACGCTAAGGGGTCGTTTGGTAGGAGGTATTAGAAAAAATAATGCAAGCATTAGCTCTATGCATTACTAATACCTTGTTTGGTATATTTTTTCAACCTGTGCATAACTAATACTTGTATTAGTTATACATCATAATTGTTATTATCCTATGTATAAGTAATGCATAGAAAACCATGGCATTAGTAATACCAAGGCTATTAATGCATGCATTAGTATGGTTAAATATAAAATTGTCCTTAAAGTCCCTTAAAGCTAGAGAATATGTAGGGCATTTTTGTAAACAACTATTTTTCTTAAAAATTATGCAATGCATTGTAATTTAATACACCACACCAAACAGTTGATAAGAAATAATATCTGCATAACTTATGCTTGCATTACTAACACATGCATTACTAATACAACTTATTTTGCACTATTCTTATACACCTACCAAATAACCCCTAAGAATTGGCCATCGGTGGTGATTGATGTTGGTCTAAAAGGTAACTCGTGTCCTTTCCTTGAACAGAAAGGCCCTATGGTTATTTGATACTTGGCTTGGTATCATGGTCCAACTTTTCTTGAATATCACATGCCTTGAGCTGGAACACCTGGCCAATATGTAAGAGGTACTTCTTCATCTCATCATATGTGTCATATTTTTTTTGCTTCGTTTTAAAATAAATAATAAATTTATATTTTCAAAACCATCTAACTTTAAAATCTCAGGTTCAGTATATTATGCTGGAACTTTTCGTGTGTTGAAATTCCAACACAATATGCCGAAAGTTTATACACAGATGCACTATCTTTAGTATATTATGCTGGAACTTTCCGTGTTGCAGCAAATAATGCCTATTTTTCAATGACTTCACAAACGTTGGCTATTTTTTAATTACCAGTCCGAAAACTGACTAACCCGTGGTGTTTTCACTAAAATAACTGTAATTGAGTTATAGCAACAAATCCATATATTTCTAATTGACTAGTAGCAATTCAATGGTCTTTTTCATTTGGAAACGTGACGCTGATTCAGAACGCTGAGTCTTTTTCGATCAGAAACGCCTCTCTACTCCTTGGGGTAGGGGTAAGATCTGCGTACACTCTATCCTCTCCAAACCCCACTTCTCCAAACCCCACTTGTGTAATTTTGCTGGGTTGTTGTTGATTTAAGAACGCTGAGAGTATTTGATGAGAAAGTTCTAATACATAACCAAATAAAACGCCAATACAGCTTGTGAGTACTTTTCGTAGTTTCTATAAGCAATGGTAATATGCACGTGGTTTCCTAAAAGAGATACCTTGAGCACTACTAGAGAGCGTATTTGCATGAAATTTCATATTATATTCCATAAAACAGTTATATACAGGTTTAAAAAATTGGTTATACTACGCTGGCCTTCACTATTCCGGAGAAGCTGCCTTTATTGCAGGAGTTTGATAGAAAAAAGAATGTCCCTTTAACATTTATCTTCTACATGCAAGTATGCAACAATGGTGAAGAGGACCTAAGCTGCAAGAAATGTGTATCACAATTGTCCATGGCCTAACAGCCAAAAGAACACTCGAGGCCATTAGCAGCAGCAATACCAACTGTTGACAGATTGCTACTGCTGCTAAAGAAAATTGTTAAGCAAAAGTTTATACTGCTAATTCTCTAAACTATGTAAGTAAGCTGCTCCAAATCTGTGACAACTTGGTTGATTGCATGAATAATCATTTTCTTTATCTGTTCCATCAAAGGATGAAATAAGTTAGTACACAATGGAGGCTTAACACCGCCAGATTAAGATAAAAGCATTTTGATACGGTACCTCTAGTTTGTCTTCTCTGACCTTGTGGCCTCTTGGCAATTTCCTAAACTCAGCTGTGAGGCGGAGGCATTCTTGAATGTTTTCAGGAGAAACAAAATCGGCAGCAACTTTGGTACACGACTGGAAAGTTGAAAACGATATGGTTACTTGAGGGAACTTCTGGATTTTCATGGAAAATAAAACTAGTACGGAAATATGATTTTTACCTTGAGATTACGCACTTGGTGAGGGCATCCTGCAGGAATGAAAACTGCCTCTCCGAGTCTTTGCTCAAAGGTCCAAGGCTCAATCCCTAAAATATTAAAAATTGACATTGTAGATTTGTTTACAAACATGTTTTCTCTGATTCTCGAGCAAAGATAAAGAACAAGGTAAATTACTAACCAAATTCTTCCTTAAGCTTTTGCTTGTGCTCCAAAGTTAAGTAGAAAGTTTGATCATGGATCGGGTGAAAAACCTGATCAACAGGACAACAGTAAGTGTGCCTAAATTCCTTTGCGTGCTTTAAAAGATACTCCTTCAACTTGGTTACGTCTTCCCTTCTGAAGATGTCCCACAAGGCACCTCCAGTTGTCTCAGGTGTTTTCTCCTCCCTTCCGATCCCACTAGATATCTTCATAGGATATTCGTTGCCATCATGCTCGAGGCACTCTCTTTCATCTTGAGCTCTATGCTTCTGTTTCACTCTCTCAATTGCAGACTGCTGCTCATCACTTACAGCCATCTCTGCTGTATGTGTCAAAATATTTATCTGAGCAATTCGAATTTCAGAAACATCAGCTTGTCATAAAATAAGCATGGAAAAAGCAACAAAGGGAATTAATAGCAGGTAATGCATTAACACAATCCAGAACTGGGAGAAGCGAGAAGGCTCCTAATAATGTGAGATTAAACATAAAACTGGATTGTAGGATATGGATCAGCATGTACTGTAGATCATTCTCATATCAAACTTATTATAGAGTAGCCATGAGGTTAATGAGTCTCACTAGACAACATAAGGCAGAAGATTGGCTGAATAAGTTGCTATATTTTGGGATTAAATGTCAGTTTTCTTTCCCATTTTTAAACAGCTACTTAATACTTTTCAGACACCTTGCCAAGGTCCTAGTCGACGAGGTTCCAGATTTCGGAAGTAATCTGAAGGAATATCCTCCTAATTGTGATTTTGAAGTATTAGGCAGTGCTATTCCACAAGCCAGCACGGACAGACCGCGTGATAACTAGATCTAGAGAATACATAAATCAAAGGGGTGGTAATGATATGAAAATAAAGTGAAAAAGACACATGAAGGAACTAAACGTCCTGTTGAAACCATACCGCATCTGACATATCGCAGTGAAGCTTTGTCACCGAATCCCCTCTTCCAAGTTCTTTCGTCATACCATACGCAATGTATGTCTTTGGACCCAAGTCAGGTTTTAAGACACCTGTTGGTAATTTAACGGCAAGATTCAGAATACCGATCCTTGGATCTGTGTACTCCTGGAATGGCAAAGCACTGATAAACTCATCACAGTGGCGAGGCAAGAGATCCTCAAACTTGTCAGATGGCGGCCAGTCTTTAAGTTTGAGCATTTCAGGCCAGAGATTTTTGTATGTTCTGCCCTCTGTATAGCCTTTAAAAAACTTTCGAGTATTGATCTCAACCTGCAAAAGTTTTACATAATTTAATCATTAGCACAATGGCAGATAGTCATATTCTAATAACAAGTTGAGGCTATTCAAGAAGCAACTATTTTAATATGAAGAAAAAATACTTATTACCAAAAGGAAAGGAAAGGAAAGGATTAAGCGGAATATGGTAAGTACTAATGCTGTGCACGAGGTAGAAAATGCAGAAGATATGAGAAAGAACCTGACAACCAGCCAGGCAGTCGATAGCCTTTACTTCTGACATACTTGTAAGGATCTTTGAATCAGTGCTCTCACATAATGCACGCCACATAACCATTGGTTCCCAGCTTAAACCGCTTGTGTGCTCAAGAACATCTCGTACTATCACCGGTTCACCCTTGGCCCAGTGTCTGCGAAAGTGTAAAAGTGCATCATCCTTCATAGCGTCCTTTGCAGTAGGGGAATACAAGCAGTTATCATCTGAACCAACCCTAGAAGCCGCTTTGTGTAACAGTTCAGGGTCATCAGTTGTGCAAATTGGCTGAGAAATTATCTGGGCAAAATTGCATTGGATCAGAATTCTTTCCGCTTTTGCTTGCAAAGTTGAGATCCATTTTTTCGGCAACAGATGCTTCAGGTCTAAAATACAATTTCCACATCCACCCATTTCTACAGGAGCACACATGATATTACCATCATAATTAGCAACCCAAGTAATTGGTTTTTTCTGGTCCTGTGAAATTTCCATATTATGAAAATTTTCATGCAGTGGATCTCCACCGTGCATGTAATCATAGCCTCTGTCTAAATACTGGAAAACTGCTTCATCACTATTTCCCGGAAATTTGCCTTCCCGCAGCTCTTGGCAGCAACTTAGACAGAGCTCATATGAGCAATTTGGGCAACTTCGATGAAGATCAATTATTGAAGTTGAGCAGTTGTTGCTGCTCCAAGGCCAATAAAATCATTAAGTATAAAACCTCCAAAAATAAGGACTGCAAACATAACATTTCATAATAGCACGAAAAAAAGTATATTACCAGTAAACTCGCTCATCATTTTGATAAAGTGACTGTTGAATTTCAACTGAAGATGAAGATACCCCTGTGATAAAAACTGTATCAATGTACAATTCGTCCGACTCAATGTTTTGTTTCTTTAAACTAAGAGACATACCACGAATAGAAGACTCCATCTCTATCTCCTGGATTTGCTCCTGATGAATTTCTTTCAGAAAGGGGAGGAGTTCGATAATCAAATAGTGCAAATGCTCAATCTTTTCACGATCAGTGAGATCCCTTCTTGATGTCTTCAAGGAAAGAAATATTCAGCCGTAATTAGAAGATAAAGCGACAAGCTCATTTTAATTGATTTAAGGAAAAGACAAACCTTAAGTGTGCCACTTGAGTGTAAGCACAGGTTGCAATTACATTTTCCACGACAATATGGACAAACCTCTGAAACTTCTTCTTCTTCCAATTCAGGATACCTGTTCATAAAAAATAATTAGCAGGAAGGTTAAAGTGATGTTAAAATTTCATGACATACTAAAAGGAAATCTTAAGCATTTGAACAATCACAAAGATAAGAGATACACATTGGACATTTACCATTCCCTGATGCACTGGATACAGTATAATTTCTCCTTACACTTCATACAAGGAACAACAGTTCTTCTATCACTTCTTCTGCATTGATGACACTTTGAAGGCTGAAAATTTACCTGCATATGATTAAACAAATAAGTGTCATCATCTGAAAGAGTTCAAAAGAAAAGGAGAAAAATTCCATTTAATCTACAAGATTAATGAATAAAAAGAGCTTGACCTTCATGTTTGTAGATCTATCTATTCCACTTCTTGAAATTGTTGAACCAGAGGACGACGAGGAGGAAGGCGATGAACTACAAGCAGACAACTTTGCTGAATTTTTTATTATATCTTTTGGACTATTATTTGGTTTCAGATCATGTGAAACATCAATTCTCTGGCTTCTTGTATTGCTTGGTATATGATGTCCATTGCTTATCAAAAGCTCATACCCCTCAGTATCATCTTCCCACTCACCAACATAATAATCATGACCGTATCTCTTGAATGAGGCAGCAACACGTCTTACTGATATCCTTTTATTCTCTGCATCTTTTTCATGAATTTCCTGCGTCTTTATTCCATCCTTGGACAGACTTGGCTTTTCCTTGCACACATCCCACTTGTCTTCACTTTCATCCACCTTGTCCATTGTTTTAGGAATCTTCATCTTGCTTGACGTTCCTAGACATTTTTCTCCATTTAATTTAGCAGGCACCCTTTTATTCCCTGAGCCTTCAATTTCTTGAGTCCCTGGCATTTTCTTTCCAACCTTGGACAAGCTTGGTTTTTTCTTGCACGCGCCCCATTTTTCTTCAGTTCCATATTCCACCTTGTTCATTGTATTATCTCCTTTTTGAGTCATCTTCTTGCTTGAAGTTCCTAGAGATTGTTGCAGATTTACTTTATCCGGCATCCCTTTCCTCTGCGGATTTCCACTTAGAAGAATGCTTTTTGTGGAGGTAGAAAGTTTAAGTCTGTCCCTGCACTCGAGAGGCTCGTCTTTCACTTTATCATTCCTTTTATTTCTCATAGGTCCATTTTTAAGAACTTTTTCCTGCTTGGAAGTTCTCCAAAGCTTTTCCGAGTTTCTTAAACTATTCAAAGCTTCATCAAGTGGCATCTGAGATTTCGTTAAGGGTCCTGGACAATACTCTTCATCAAGTGACATCTGAGATTTCGTTAAGGGTTCTGGACAATACTCTTCATAAAGTGGCATCTGAGATTTCGTTAAGCGTCCTGGACAATACTCTTTATCTTCTTCCTCTTTGCACTCCTCCTCTTCTTCATCATCACTGATGAAGTCATCCCAACTTAAAAAACTTGGTTCCTTCTTTTTTGCTGAACGATGATGCATTCTACTACGCGAGTCATCAGATTCCTTTCCAGTAGCTATTGTCTTGGTCCTCTGATGCGATGTGATCATGTTCTTCTTTGGCTTTTGCGCTGTTTTTATTCTCTCTCCCAATCCACCTGATAAACGTGCATCCTCCGGAACCCCTTTCCTGATTACAACACCAACTTTCTCTGCCATAGTTCTTCTGCCACGGCGGACGACAGTATCGGAACAATGCTTTGGTTTCTTATTAGGGAACTCTGTAACGTTGAGCAGCGATGCTGCATTGTCCTTTCCGTGTTTTTCTTCATCACGATTTAGGACAAAATTTCTCTTCCTAAAAACCTTAGACGGATTTCTCATTCTTGGGGCGTTCTGACTGCTCAATGGTCCTTGTTTCGCAATTAATGTCGCCATCTTCTACTCCTACACAACTGAAACATAAAACTTAATAATCTAAACAATCTGAATCTTCAGGATAAATGGCAGTGCAAGAATGTTATAAACAAATACTGAATCCACAGAATGAACCTTAGATGCTAAAATGGAATTAAATTAATCTAACATCAGCAAGCGGATTAAAATCTGAATGAAAATCAACTTTTTGTACTAATGTAAAAGCTACAGACAAAACCAGATTAATAAAAAGAATTTCCACGGGTGACCCAAAGTCAACATAACTGGGTCAACAGTCATCATCTCAACCAATTCACCATTAAAAAAATAACTAAAAAATAAAACCAATAGATGAAAATCTGAATCAATCCCCATTTACATACCAATTCTCAATACATCAATTTGTTGGCATTTCAATCCAAAAACAGAACCCAATTAATCAATCCTTAAAATCTATCCAAAATTCACTAAAATTCCCAATACCCATATAATATTGAAAAGAAGAAGAAATAGAGAGAATCTGAACGAAACCCATGATCACACATATATAAAGATAATGGAAACTTCAACTCACCTGATCAATGGATCAGTTGAAACAGCTTTTCATTGAATTTGATACAATTCTAATTCAGCATGTTAATGGGTTCAAGAAAGAAATAGAAATTATGAAATTCGATATTCGATTACAGAGAAAATAGGAATTAAGAAGCCGGCTGGTAGGTATTTAATAACAAGAAAAATACTCTACCCAACAAAACAAGTATAAAGAGAAAAAACCAAAGAGAACAAAACAGTGGGTGACTGTCGCACCTTTTTTCCTATTAGGAGTTGGATTTTGGGAGCTGTAAATGTAAATATTCTGGTGAGGTCACTATATGGGATTAATGGGGATTGTGTGACTTCAAGAATTTACCCTTATTTGACATTAAATTTAGATGAACTAAAACTTTGGTCAATAATATTTGTTTTACAATATTCGGATATCTAAAAATGAAATTCATAGGCAGATTTCTCTGGTCCACACTAAGTGATCAATTTATTTATTTTTTTATCCAAAATAAGTGTCCATTATATAATCAAGAAAAAATTCAATTTGTTTTTTCAAAATTACCCTTATGTACGTATTGCTAAAAAGTCTTTTACTCCTCACGTTAAATTATGTTGCAACATTTAATTAAGGATAATTTAGTCACACTAACTATTTTTATCTAGAATTTAGTATTTCCTTAATAAATGTGCCCAAGGCAAATTGGTCACTTATTGTGAACCGAAATATATGAAGAAGTGTCAACTTCTGTGAGCTAAAATAGGTAGTAGTATTTACTATTTACTCGCATCATGTGTTTATACCAAATTAAATCGATTAAAAATTAAAGTACAGACACATCTAACTTAATGCTAATTAAATAATAAGTTGTATGAAAAATAATATATCTTGTATTTATTGATTTAATGTAATGAATATGTTTTTATCATTAATATTGCTCTTTGTCCTTATTGTCAAGACTTTTACAACCAAAAATAGTACTACTGATTTCGATATTAACGGAGTTATTGATTTGGTTTCATTTAAATTATAAAATTTACATTTTTTTAATCTTTTAGAGATGAAATTTGTAGGCAAATTAGTAAAATTGTTTTGAACAATCTATTAGTAACATGTTTTAGGAATCCCAATCCTAAAAATATACTTAACACTTTAATTTTCTTTATTATCTAGGACTAGGAAGTAGGAACTACTGTGCCAACTTCAGTGCTAAAGTATTGCAAATAGCATCTCCTAGTCCTTTCAGCATAAAAATTGTCATGACTTTTTCAATAAATAAGAAATTGATATTATCATGCTAACGGAATTCATTAGTGTAGTAATCTCATTTAAAATTGTAAGAATCTACATACTAATTTTCGATTATGTTGCATTCCACAAATAACTTGAATTTATTTTCGAAAAGAATTAATATAAAGAAGAAATTTCCCTCCATTAATTTAATATTAGTGGGTAATATATTTAATTCTAAAAAGTAGAGCGTGAATTCATTTGTATACTCTGTAAAATAAAACAAAGGGTGTTCTATCTCTGTTATCTCCTGAGATGTGTAGAAAATAAGATTGATCTTTTTCTTAAAAGAAAAATAATAATGAGACCTCGTAAACTGTGTAGCACATTTATCGTGTGAGTACCGTAATGTAGTAAATCAATGGTTGAGATTTCAGGTGATACCACCAATTAATGTGACACCATTTAATTATGTATAAATTTAAGATTTTAATCTGATTGTGTATTGTAATAGCAATATTTTATTACTAAAAGATATTTCATGGTTTTCATTATGCGTCATTTGTATTTTGCATTTTGATTGTAGGCTAGAAAAATTAGTTTTTAGCTACATTTGGCACTCTAGTTACTGTATTTTATTCGTTTTTGAAACTAATGGACAATGATTTGTACTTATTAGGCGTGTGTTTGCCTTATAGGATGTGATTCCACAGTAGAAAGCAAGTTTAGAGAATGGATAATTTGGAGCTTTGAAGTCTGAGTAGAAGCCCAAGGAGTTAAACTGGGGGTGATGAGGTAGATAATTCCTTAATTTGACTTCAAAGAAGCATCTTTGCATGAATCAATACTAACTTCCAATCAGTTGACCTTCGATTCTGGAGATTAGAATAGAAGAACTCTGTAACGGCGAAGATGGGCCTCTACTCCTTTAAAAATCGGGAATCCGCAAGGAAAGATAGGACACATAGTAAAGACCGATAACGTTTGGGGTTCGAGGACCAAGTATGGATATTAAAAAGTGAAGAAAAATCCGAAGCGAAGAAATTTGTATGCGCGCCGCGTGAGGGACCTCGCGGCGCTGCGCGACTGCACAAATGGGCAAGCATGACAAAATCTGGCCCTTTGAAAAGTCCCACTGGCGCTGCACATGGGGCAATGCGTGGCGCACCACGCCCGTGTAGTTGTGCTACCCATTTTTCCCCTTTCGGCTTAGAAAGGGTAGTTTCGTCTGAATCTGTTCTTATATGGTATAAATACATAAAAATACGATTTTTAGAGAACTTTTGATCTACAAATAGTTGAGAGAGCATTGGAGGCTTCAAGACACAAGATTTCATCATTCCTCCACCAATTCAATACGCGAGTTTGGATTGTAACTTTGGATTGATATGCTCTTATTTTTTAACTTTATTTGTGATGACTTCTTCCATGATTATGAAGTAGTTTATGTACCCTAGGGATTGATGAATATGGTGCTTTGCTTGTTATTTGTGGATTTTAACTCTAGTTATTTGCATGAATTCGTTTATAGAGCGTTGAATTGATTGCAAATTTGTTCGCCGACTTATTTAATCGAAAGAGGAATATTTTGGGCGATTATCTTTGCATATTTTATTTTATTTAGTTTAGTCATTATTCTAATTAATTGAAAGAGCTTTTTTGAATTGTTGATTAAACCGAGTTAGGAGAATATTCTAGAGATGTTTTTCTAAAGATTAGTCCATCAACATGTTCTTGTATATCTTTATAGTGCTTTATATTAGTTTATTTCGTAAAGTCCAGATCTAATCGAGATAGGAGTTTTGACTTATAACTGAACTAAACATCGAGCGAATTCGCGAGAATCATTAGAATATTAGAAGTGACTTTACTTAGAGTTAGATCTCAAATAGATATCCTGCACCTATCCTGTCAGACACTTATTTTTCATGTTGATAACAATCAAATCTGGCTAATTTCAAGTTCTTCGTAATCAATCATTAATTGCTTTAGTTCAAGTGGTTATTTGTAGTCACATACAATCTAATTCAAGTTTTAATCACCCTGGATAGCATTCTACGAGAAATTACTAGAACATTATTTAAATATAACCTCTGTGGAGACAATTTTACAATATTATCTTTGACTAGTTAACATTAGTTTTCTTGTTGTGCTTCACATTTCACTTAAGAAAGCATTAATTAAGTATTTATTTTATTTAACTATCCTTATTAATAATATTTTTAAATTTAAATTTGACTACTAGTACTCCAATTTGTTTGAAAAATGATTAATAAAGGTAAAATTGGAAAAAAATTTATTAATTCTCTCTTAATTTGCAAAAATTATAAGTTTAAAAAATAAATTCTATTTTGAGTATAATAAACAAGTAAAAGGAAACGAAAAATTAATTTAATAGAGCAATCATCAAGTCAGAGTACATTTGAATGAATTGGAATTTTAAATCACTAAAATTTGTATTTAAAACAAAAAAAAAGACATACACGTTCTGTGCATTACAAAAAATGGGATGTCATATAAAGTCATGATTAGAAGAAAACAAGGCATCATTAGTTATACAAAATGAATTTTCATTATTTACTTAGGGAGATTCACAAATGATTCTTCTGTTTTAGTAGATCTATTTATGGAGATCTGAAATGGATTTTATTTTCATTAAATATAGTAGATTTCCCTTTCGTGCTCTCAAAGGAAGGTGATTTTCTAGGACTCTACATCAAAATCCTACTAATTATACAGTGGAAAAATAAAATATTTAGCTGGATAATTATGGAAATATATGCTGTAATTATGACATCAGAGTTAAGGAGTTAAATCTCTTTCATGATGTGCTTGGTATTCAAGCAATTGATACACCGGCGCCCACGCGCTCTTATCACACTTTATTAAGTATATATTTTTGTTGTTATTTTAACGTACGTATCTTATATTCAGTATTTATTTATCTAACTAATTTGAAATCGTGAACAAAGTTCATTAGGCATTAGATATTGAAAATCAACTTATTATTAATTTGAATTGACGTAAAATTTACTAAGGGTAAAATAGAGTATTACAAAAAAGAAGTTAATACTTCGCTTAAACTCAACTCAAAAGACAGAATCCAACCGCGTTAGTTTGTTAAACCTTATCCTCTAATTCCCAAATATTTACCGCCCAACTGGCATAGTGGGACCCGCAAGCACAGCCTCAACTTTGAAACCACGTGTTTCATTGTGTCACTCGTTGTTCACGTGTGCTCGTTATGAAATCTTCTTTTAAGACTAGCGAGATTAGCCCGGCCCAATGAATATGTGATCAATGTAAAAATAGCGCGGTTAACTAGTTTTCGGACTGGTCATTCAAAAATAACCAGCGTTTATCAAGTCAATGAAAAATAGTCACTATTTTGCCGCAACAAAGACCGATCCAGCATAATATACTGGAGTTCGGTGCACCTGTGTATGACCTTCCAGCATATTATGCTGGAACTCCAACACACGGAAAATTCCAGCATAATATACTGGAGATTCGAGCACTTGTGTATGAACTTCCTGTTGGGCTCATGCCCATGTTGTCCAGCCAAAGACCCAATGGCCTAATCCTATTCTCTTTTGGTTTCCATTCCTATTCGGAATTGGATTCGGTATTTATTCCTATTTTGAGTGGGTTTTGGCTTTAAGAGAAAGCACCACTCATAATCTATAAATAGGACAATCTTGGAGAATTATTCTATGCTCATTGTTACAAGTCTTTGAAAGACTTAAGCACATAAGAGTGGTTTAGAGAGAGCTTTCATCAAGAGAGAAGAGAGAAGAAAGTATTTGTTTTGCTGCAGATTTTTATTCTGACAAGCCAACTTCAAATCACGTTTTCCGATTCGTTATCCGTTGGATCGGGCTGAAATTTTTACTGAGTGTTCGTAACATCTTGGTCTTGGATTTGAACGGCGAAGATCGGATTTGGAGGCTCGTAGCATCTGATTTCGAGCCTTGAACAACAGCTTCATTTTTGTGGATTATACTCTTTCTTCAATTGATTAGTT